TGTCCTTCCCCACACCGGGGTCGGCGGGGTGGGGGGGGGGGGGGAATCCAGGTGAACGAACGCCGGTATGTGTTCGCTCACCTCCCGATCTACTGAGCCAACCTGTGACAGTCTCATTGTCACAGGTCGGCTAGAACTATGAGTTGAGTCAAAAGCACTCACCTCATAGTTCTCCTTTTAAGTCACATGTGTAGCATTTTTGGATGTTTGTCACACATCCATTCATTTTTTTTTTTTATATAGACTGCCCTACATACCGCAAAGAAGCTCATGCACTTGTTTAAGCTGCAAGCTTTGCTTGTTAAGAAAAATGCACATCTGTATTTGGCATGTCATTAACAATGAATGGCAATGCAAGTGATGCGTTCACATGCTTAGCAAATGTCAAGCATGCCTTAGTTATAAAATTATTTTGTGTTCTGCAACCCTCCAACGCTTTCCCTTTTGTATTTTGAATGTAAAATGTAATTACCTGCCACCACTTCCATCTTCACTTTCCAGTCGGCAGCCTTTTTCTGGATATGCTAGACAGAAGCAATGATGTAATTTTTAAACACTCAAAAAATAATTGCACAAAATGGAGCTCCATGGTAACAATTCCCCTTTGATTACAGTTGTATTATATCACCAAGGCAACTAGACTAATACAAACCATTTACTGCAATGCGCGTAAACATTGAAGAAGGCTGACTACCCTGAATAGGTGCTTACCTTTCTTGTAGAGGTCTTATGTAGGGAATATACAGATGTCCTTGCCATCTGCAGAGCAGTCTTAAGAAACGTCATATCCATACCTAAATAGGAAAAATGATCAAAGATAAAAAGAGCATTAGTGGAACTTTTACAAACAACAGTCATAAAACCTAAACCACAATGAGAATATTCCTCTGTATACTCCTGTCACACACAAGCTGGATTCACACCACTTCTGTTGCATTTAGCATGTTGACTTTTTTTTTTTTTATTGATCTGCAGATTTTATTTTTTGTTCACGCCCAGAGTCAAATTCATTAATTTGTTTCCTTCTAGTGCATTGCATAGCAATTAAAGTGACACTAAACTTAGGAGTTAAATCTTAAAAATGCATTCAAGTACCCTAACTATTAACAAAAATGTATCTTATGTGTATCACTCGGCTGTGCATCCTCAAATCATCTCTGAATTGGTGCTGACACTGTCCTTCCTTATGGAGGGGGGCTACGTTTGTTCCCCATGGTCCGTGTGTGTGTGTTGTAAAGTAGCCACTGCTCCAAGCTCACTCCTGGAATGGACTACAGTCGCCTGTTTATTTTATGACTGTGAGCTTGGAGCGGTAGCTACTTTACAACACACACAGGGAGCATGGGGAAGAAAAGTAGCCCCCCTCCAAAAGGAAGGACAGCCGAGTGAAGGTGCCCATACACTGCTCGATTCTCGTACGAGAATCGAGCAGTGTGAACGAAGACGTGCGACTGTTTCTACTGTACGGTCGCACGTTTTTTGTCTAAGGAGCACGCTAGAAAACCAGCCGAAAATCGTACGATTTTCAGCTGGTTTGAACGGTGCTCGGGAGACCAATGCCGAACGGGCCGGTGTGCGCACACTGCCCGTTCAGCATTGCGGTCATCGGAAGCCTGCCCCCCTTGCGATGATCGAGAGTACGATCTGCCTGTCCAAGATGGGCAGATCGTACGTTTTTTAAAATTACTTTACAACCATCACAAGACTAAGGTCTTACGATGGTTGTAAAGTGTATGGCCACCTTGAGGCACATATAAAATACAGTTTTGTTAATAGTTAGGTGTTATCTTAAAAAAACATTCAAGTACCTTAACTATTGGCAAGTAAGTACCCTCTTACTTGCCAACAAAACACTGAGCTTTTCATTTAAGACCCTGAAGCTTTACCCCATCTGTATACCCTTAGGTAAACTTCCCTTACACTTCCAGCGTTTTCACAGAAAAATCTCCCCTGTAGGAACATGTTCAACATCGAAAATACATTTTTTTGCCATGCTATCCAAAACTGAAAATGGTTTAGCTAAAATTCCTAAATGGAACAGAAATAACCGATACTGGTCCATATGATTTTCTTCTAAATGATTGCTCTTTTATACTACTTTTTAAACATGCATTTTTTACCTTTATTGTGTTTTGTTCCAAAAGGAGGATTCATTATCACCGTGTCCACAGCCTTCACCAGACAGTGAGCTGGCAATGAGCAGATATCACACTGCACTAGGTCAATATTTGTAAGTTCAAACTCATCAGCATTGGTTCTAAATATTTCCAAAGCATCTTCGTCTATATCAAATCCCAGGCATAAACTGCACAAAAGAAGAAATAGTTTAAAGGTGACGTTACAGCAATTATGATGTTCTTTTTATTAAGTGTATTACCAACACTTTTTTCTGTAGTCGGGAAGGGTTAAAAGCCATCAGGTTTTTTTTTTTCTTTTCCAGCCTGTGTTCCAATGGAGAGACTTAACTTCACTTCCTGTCCCACACATGCAACTTAAATCTCCCCTCTAAAAGGTGGCCATACACTTTACAACCCTCGCAAGACCTTAGTCTTGCGAGGGTTGTAAAGTAATTTAAAAAAAACGTACGATCTGCCCATCTTGGTCAGGCAGATCGTACTCTCGATCATCGCAAGCCCACCCCCGAGGGGCGGGCTTCCGATGACTGCAATGCTGAACGGCAATGTGCGCGTGCGCACAACGGCCCGTTCGGCATTTGTCTCCCGAGCACCGTTCAAACCAGCCGAAAATCGTACGATTTTCGGCTGGTTTTCTTGCGTGCTCCTTAGACAAAAGACGTGCGACCATACAGTAGAAACGGTCGCACGTCTTCGTTCACACTGCTCGATTCTCGTACGATCGTGGGATTTCCCGCGATTCTCGTACGAGAATCGAGCAGTGTATGGGCACCTTTAGACAGTTGCCCCATTCAAAAATTTTTAAATCTTGTTCTAGGGACAACTCCAAAATGTTGGAATTCCCCTCTTTCTCTGTAACACTGGTCACCAGTACAAAAATAAAATAATGAATCTCCTCAACAGGGAGACACACACACAGACAGCAACAAAATAGTTAATCTAACCCTTCCCCATGCTGTCCTATATGAAAAACTGGTTTGGGCCTAGAGATTGAGCTTTAAAGCTCAATATTTTATTTTGCCTTCTCTAGTTCCTCCATTATACCAAATGCTTTCCATTTTTATTACACAACTTATTTTAGATCAGGTGATGTCATCAGTAAGTCTCTGTGCTTTTCTATATAATGCAGGCATGTCAGAGGCACCTTGCCTCAGTACTCCCCTCAGCCTTGACGCAAACAGTGGGCTGGCTCTTGGGATGACTAATGCAAATCTCAAAATGCCTTAATGGGTGGGTGTCAGTCTGGAGAAGTGGGTATTCCAATACAGGCTGTACTTGCATGCAGACTGCTCTATGTAACACCCACATGTGATTCTGAACCTCCATGATTGAAAGAAGTGAAATTCAATTCATAAATAGGGTGGACCATTCAAAAAGAAAAAGGCTAGATTATTCCGCATGTCTTCCAGCCCAGAAACGAGGTGTGCTCGATCTGATTTGCACAATGAGAAGCTCACAACGTGCAGTTAAATCAGAGTAAGCCATTTTAAATACAGAAGAGAAGCCTGAACAACTGTGCATGACTGAAGGTAAGGCTGGAGTTTAGCTTTAAGTGCAATGAACCTGTAACAGAGAATCATTGTTTGGTTACTACAGGTCAGAAGTTAGTTTACATGTTATTCTTTACTAATGATTCCTAATGTACCAACGTAAGGCAAAACAAATTCATGAAACATGTACTCACCCTGCACCCAACATAGCTGCCCCAATACTCAACACCCCACATCCACAGCCGAGATCTGCAACCACTTTATCTTCAATATCACCAAATGTGTTATGGATCGTGTATAGCATACATGCTGAAATGACATGAATGAAAGACATAAAGATCAAATCACAGTTGTCCATCACTGAATCAGATGTATTATTCAAAGGCACTATCTGTGAAATAAGGAAGGGTGCAATAGTAGTAAAAATACAAAAAGACTCAAAGGGGCATGCCAGTATTGTGAATGGTCACCGAGTTAAGAGACCTGTTGAACCTGCACAAATTTGAATCTTTCTTTATACAGGAAAACATATTTATTTCCTTACAGTGTATAGCTGGCCATACACTGCTGCCAGCCACATGTGGCTCTGTCAGCACCTGCCCTGGTCCAAAAATTCTTATTTGAACTGTGCCTACATCCACTCAGATGTATGCACTGCTCAGATATTTAGCAGCTGGAGCGGTGGCTGCTGAATACAATAGCCAGCAGCGGGGATTGCCCTATTTAGCATGGATATGGGAATCAATATATTTCGTGCAGGGCTGAACGAGAGACATTCTAAGCATGTATGGCCAGCTTATGTACATGCAATGTTTTGTTTTAGTTTTGGATAGGCTGGGGAAATGTTAAATCCCCTGTCAGGTAAGTAAGCTGCCGTAGGCAGCCGAGTGAATGACTGACCTGAAGTGAGCCGAACACTGTTCGGCTATTAATGGAGAACTGCAGCAGAGGGCGGGTACAATGCTAGTTTACTATTGGCTATTGCAAATTGAAATAGCCAATAGGAATCTAGCAATGCAATTCAATGGGGAAACATTATTATTTTTTTCTACTCCGACATTGCTCGTGTCAGATAAAGACCTTCGGTTCTACTGAACCGAAGGGTTCCTGGGGCCGAAGCTAGCCGAAGCTACGGCTAGATCCTTCGGCAGCTTCGTGAATAGACCCCTAAGTGATGGGAAATTTTGCAGTTGTCACCAGAGCAACAAACAAGTAAAATCATCCAAATCGGACACCTGTTTCTATGACAACTCCCAAAGACAGTTAGGAGTTTTGTTCACTTTAGATAAGCTGAATGGCTTCTGCTTTACTGCCTGGTATTACCATGGGCCACAAGAGTCAGGCAAAGGCAAATTCCAGCTCAGCATTCCCGGATGGGAGCTTGCTTTTATATTACAGAGCTTTTTTTACAATATAACATAAGAAAATAAGATTGTAAGCCCTGTGTAGGGTTCAGGAAAAGTATGAAGCCCTATTTGTATAAGGCTTTGCTTTGACCAATACAAAACAAGTTGATGCTGTGTGGACTGTTTTTAGGCTTACACTGAGCCATTTGGGCCTACTGTGTTTTCTATATGGCACAAATAATTGTCAGGTCAATACAATTAGGAAGTTACAAGTAGCAAGTCTGCGACACCAGCGACTAACCTGCTATATGCGGTCTGGTGGGATACTGCTCCAGGAGTAGTTTAGGGTTTTCAAAGGCATCAACCTGTTGTAGGCAACTCTCCAACTCCTTTAGCTTCATCTCTAAAAGGAAAGTAAGAAAAAAGAAATATAGTAAATTACACATTAACACATCAGTCTCTACATACGGGAATATGTCAAAATGCAGCCAACCCTGTGTAGGGTTATGTGTCAACAAAACGGCTACAGTAAAAGTTAGGTGCTAACGAGGCAACAACAAAAAACAAACATCTTATTCAGTAAAGAGATCCGATTCTTAAATTGACCCTGTCCCCACTGAAAAGTGTTAAACAAAAGCTCCCTGTAAAAGTATAAGCTTTATACCTACTTTTTTGGGTGTGTCAGATAGTGTGTTCTCTGCTATGTTTCCTCCTGTTGACTCCTATGTCATTAAAGGAAAAAGTAGGGACATAGTGGCCAGTGGGAGGAACCTCACCTGGAGACAGCATATATTCCACCCACATCCCACTGGAAAGGTAATGATAAAACTTATTTTACAAGAGGCTTTTGCTTTAATATTTTTCCATGGCTACAGGGACCTTAAAAAAAGGTAACCTGCACTGAAAGAATTAGGGGCTGCCATTGCTAATAGCCTTCAAAGGATAACGGCTGCCTGGCCGGCACTGACCGAGAACAAGCATGCAGATTAAAATATCATAGTGAAGACACAACTGCACATCCAGGTCAGTGCCTCCGAAAATACAGAGTCAGACCTATAACTCTGCAATCAGCAATGCTTATACTGTCCTCTGACTCCACAGGGGGTGTGCCAGATGCCTGCAATGAAATCATTGCTCTTTCAGAAACCAACAGGGTTATTCACAAAAGGGTGAAGGGTTTGGAGAAGACAGGAGAAGTGAACAGTCTAGGACAACATAGCTGATTTGGAAAAATTATCCAATTCAGCTATGTTGTCCTAGATCAGGGATGGTCAAACTGCGGCCCTCTAGCTGTGGTGGAACTACGGATCCCATGAGGCTTTGCAAGATTCTCACAGCCACGACTCCCGGAGAGAGATGCGTCATGGGATTTGTTGTTTCACCATAGCTGGAAGGCCCCAGTTTGGCCATCCCTGTCCTAGATTGTTCACTCCTCCTGCCTTCTCCAAACTCTTCACCCTTCAGTTAATAAACCTGCAAGTGTCCCACTCTGCAGCATGCTGGCAATGAACAGGCATTTTCTGATGCCTTCATGGCAGCATACATATGGTTGGTGCACTGCCCACATCCAATCCTCAGGACCGATATTAACTCTATACATTTTAAAGACAGCCTCGGCCTACCATTCTCTTGTTTGTTTTTAGGACCAAACAAACAATGGCCTCTTGCAGTAGCTAGCTTGGCTAGAGCCTTTCAGGACAGGCGTGTCTACTCTGTGTGACTGATTTTTAGAGAAAGCGAACTGTAAGATTTTGCACACCTTACCTTTAATGTATCTGGAATGTATCAAGGAGATTTAAACTGAAGGTTCAGTTGGGCTTTAAAACACCTCAAAGCACAAAATCCTTCATCCAAATATATTACTCAATAGCAGCAAAGAATATAAATCTGCTTTGTGTGTGCCAATTTTTTTTTGTATTACAGCCATTTCTATAGCACCAACAATTTACTCAGCGCTTTACATACTGTACATTCACATCAGTCCCTGCCCTCAAAGAGCTTACAATCTAAGGTCCCCATCTCACATACAGGGCCAAATTTACACAGGAGTCAATTATCCTACCAGCACGTCTTTGGAGTGTGGGAGGAAACCGGAGTACCTGGAGAAAATCCACACAAGCACAGGAAGGACTTGCAAACTCCACGTAGATAGTTTTTTGGCTGAAATTTGAATTAAGGACCCCATTACTGCAAGGCAGAAGTGCTAACTAGATATTACCTTCTAAAAGCAGTGGGGGCAGCATCACTGTGTAGAGCTCTGGGAGGGGCCCAGCATCCCCACCCACTACAGCAGGGGTGGGCAACTCTGGCCCTCCAGCTGTGCTTTTAACTACAAATCCCAACATGCCTCTGGGAATCATGCCTGTAACTGTCAGTCTTGTAATGCCTAATGGGACTTGTAGTTTCACAACAGCTGGGAGGCCAGAGTTGCCCACCCCTGTACTACAGACTGCCTGCAGAAAACTATAGGAGAGAGTAGCAGTGACTGGTCTTCATTACAGGAAGTTCCTGCACAGAGTCACACTATATTAGACAACTTTTTCAATAATCGATTATAATCGATTATGTCGATTAGTTGTTGCAGCCCTATACAACACAGATCGGAAAGAAATACGCAAAGCACACCAAGATTCAAGTACAAATATGCATGACACCTGTATTTAGACAATATTTGCTCATCCCGGAGTTCAGCTTTAAACTATCATAAACTGTAACCACACACAGAGGGAATGGCTAGTGAAAACATACTACATGTAGATAATAAAACACCACATGTCCATTCACTCTTGTTCTCAAACATCCTTTAAATCAGTAAATGGTGTGTGATCGTCTTCATAAAACATCTACTGCCTGTAAAAGTAACATTTTTACTCTATTACCTCAATCCCACAACAGAGCAAGACTAACACACACAACTTGCCACTTCCTTCTCCAGCTGATCGGGCTGTGCAGCGTTAGAAGCCTCCACAGGAAGTAGATCACATCCACATGAGCCCTGTCCCTCAGCATAAAACGTCCTGCCACAACTACAACCGAACTTTTAGTTCCGACTATATGTGCTGAAAGACAGAGAGGGGAGATACACTGCCACCTGCTGGCTTGTGGTTGACATCACACATTGTTTATAATCATGTAGTGTGTATGAATACTCCCCTCGTACCCTTTGGGTGGAATTTATCCAATCAGCTTCTCTCTTCAGTTTGTTTAGTTAGTTAGAATTTGAACATGAAAGAGAGAAGCTGATTGGTTAAGGTGCACAGCTGCTCCAGTTTTGATAAATTCAATATTTTTAATTTGGGTGACGGGAGGAGCTAGTTTATGTCCTCCCGTTACCCTAAGGAGAACTATGGGGAAAAACACTTACCCCCATAGTTCTCCTTTAAGTATTATTAAACTAAAACTTTTTTATAGTGATGAATTCAGATCAAACAAGATACACATTGCCCAGCAAAGTCTTTCTTTACATTTTCCCCAAGCACTTACAGTCATCATGTATTCAAACAGCTCCAACTCTCTCAGCAACACTTCCCTGAACTTCCTGTTGAGTAGATTACAAAGGACAGGGAAGGGTCAGGACCTCTGTTGACATTCTGTGGCTCTCTTTCTCCGCCACTGACAAATTATTTCTCCTCACTTCCTGTCTATTTGATGGTTGTCAGGCAGGATAGGCAAGGAAATCTCCTCTTGGGGAGATTTCCCCTTACTTCCTGTCCAGGTGATGGGTGTCATACAGAACAGGAAGTGAGCTAAAAAAAAATTCTCAGGAGGCAATAGACATTGGTGAGATTCTTCTGTTCTTCCTTCCCTGCTTACTGGTTTTATCCGGACAGGTTGTCATGTATCCGTCTTGTATCAGCGCTGGAAATGCCGCAACTATTGTTCTGTGTCCCTGTATTGTACAACATACATGACAGAGCACAGAGGTACACTGACAGATCCCCACTGACATCACACGGATACACTGACAGATCCCCACTGAGAGCACATGGGTACACTGACAGCGCAGCACTGAGAGCACAAGGGTACACTGACAGATCTCCACTGACATCACACAGGTACACTGACAGATCCACACTGAGAGAACATGGGTACACTGAAATCACATGGGTATCCATGTGATGTCAGTGTGGTCTCATCAGTGTACCCATGTGATGTTAGTGTGGCGCTGTCAGTGTACCTGTGTGATGTCAGTGTACCCATGTGATGTTAGTGTGGCGCTGTCAGTGTACTCATGTGCAGACAGTGTACTCATGTGCTGCCAGTGTCCCCATGTACTGTCAGTGTGTAACTGCCAGTGTTCCCATGTGCTGTCAGTGTGGAACTGTCAATGTACCCATGTGCTGTCAGTGTGGAACTGCCAGTGTTCCCATGTGCTGTCAGTGTGGAACTGTCAATGTACCCATGTGCTGTCAGTGTGGAACTGCCAGTGTTCCCATGTGCTGTCAGTGTGGAACTGTCAATGTACCCATGTGCTGTCAGGGTGGAACTGCCAGTGTTCCCATGTGCTGTCAGTGTGGAACTGTCAATGTACCCATGTGCTGTCAGTGTGGAACTGCCAGTGTTCCCATGTGCTGTCAGTGTGGAACTGTCAATGTACCCATGTGCTGTCAGTTTGGTGCTGCCAGTGTACCCATGTGCTACCAGTGTGGTGCTGTCAGTGTGGAGCTGTCAGTGGAGGGCTGGGAAGTGACAGGAGGCGGCGCACTTCTCGCGAGAGCTCGCACAGCCCCGTGTATGGAAGATAACAAAAGTAAATCGGAGCAGTAGCGGCCGGCGAGAGACCTCCGAGGAGTCATCATGGCGGCAGAACCGCTGAGCCAGGATATGGAGGCCACGGCGGCCCGGCTGAAGGAAGAGCTGAGTCGGGGGGAGCGGAGCCGAGATCAGCTCAATGAGCTCCTGGACTGGGTGCTGTGTGTGGAGCGGCCGGCGGTGGAGGCCCTGGACTGGTGCCGCTCGTTGCTGGCCGGAGGGGACAACTTTGAGGACTTCTGTCAAGCGGTTCGTTCCTATGACAACGCCACCCTGTGCGGCCTGGTGTGGACCGCCAACTTCGTGGCCTACCGCTGCCGGACGTGCGGCATCTCCCCCTGTATGTCCCTGTGTGCCGAGTGCTTCAACCAGGGCGAGCATGCCGGACACGACTTCAACATGTTCCGGAGCCAGGCCGGGGGGGCGTGTGACTGCGGGGACAGCAGCGTCATGAGGGAGAGCGGGTGAGTGCCCCGACACCCTCCCCAATGTGTGTGT